GTCAAGAACTTACCCAGAACAAAAATAAATATAAACTTCCACGCGTAGCGTGGGAGATTAACTTTGTTAGACGTGTGATAACGCCCTGCACGTCACAGCTGTATAGGTGCTGAGTAGGACTGTATCCGGTTTCATACATCACCATACAAGACTCGAAGGTATTTGATTATCCCTTTACAAAATCTTCCTTTGCGTTATACCTTCCATTAATGTTATTTTAAATATTTTTGTATAAATTATTTCAGGACATATTAATACTGTACATGGAAAACTTTCTATACCAAAGAAGGAAGGAGAAACAGCAGCAAAGGCATTACTCTTCTTTAACAACTTATTTGATTCTGTGAACGGACATACTAGAAAACCGGAGACTCTTCTGCGCGTTGTAGTATCTGATCACAGTCCTCACAAATCATTTTGGCGTAGTGCAGTTACGTGAGATCAATTTTAATCAACTTTACTTCGGAGCATCAAATTAATATGTGGTGCAAAAAAATAAATCAAATTTTATGCAGTAAAGCACGACGAAGCAAAGATCGTAGCTTCATTGTTAAAGAGGCATTTCGAAAGTATAATGCTGTACATAATAAAGCCCGTAAAACCTAGATTTTATTGTTGTGTTAAAACGTTATTTCCTAATAACCTTGTGACGTACTGGACCACGATGGTGGCCCAGGGTCTTGCAAATACAGCTATCTCAAAAACTACGGGGTGAGGGGAACGCAAAAGAAAGGGGGACACGTGGTAGAATAAAAATAAAGTATAATTAACAACGCAAAGTACAGTAATCAATGTAGAACCAAAAGCTAACAGAACAGAAACGAAAATAACAGAAAAGAGAAGAGAATACGGCGGCAGGTGAGTGCACGCCCTGTCACGCGTGGGCTCGCGCGGACGCACGCGGCCTAGGAAGAGTTTAAAGGGACTCGGTGGAGGGAAGGGGGTTTCGGGGATGGAGGGGGAGTTTATGGGCGCCAGCTACTTGTACGGCGTAGCACCGACGAGTGACCCCGAAAGGTCCTCGTTTGTTTACTCGACGGGATATGGCACGGCTAGCGGAGGGAGAGGTGAGGGGGGTCTCAGGGAGGGAGGTTCCCGATCGCCAAATGGCTACTTTATAAATTACCTCGGTGGGAACGCGAAAATGGGCAGGGAAGGGAGAGGGCACGGGGGTTTTCTAAAAAGGGCGCAAAATACTCTAAACGCACGCAATGTACCACTGGCCGCACGCGGTTGGCGGAAGACCAGAGCCCGTAAAACCTAGATTTTATTGTTGTGTTAAAACGTTATTTCCTAATAACCTTGTGACGTACTGGACCACGATGGTGGCCCAGGGTCTTGCAAATACAGCTATCTCAAAAACTACGGGGTGAGGGGAACGCAAAAGAAAGGGGGACACGTGGTAGAATAAAAATAAAGTATAATTAACAACGCAAAGTACAGTAATCAATGTAGAACCAAAAGCTAACAGAACAGAAACGAAAATAACAGAAAAGAGAAGAGAATACGGCGGCAGGTGAGTGCACGCCCTGTCACGCGTGGGCTCGCGCGGACGCACGCGGCCTAGGAAGAGTTTAAAGGGACTCGGTGGAGGGAAGGGGGTTTCGGGGATGGAGGGGGAGTTTATGGGCGCCAGCTACTTGTACGGCGTAGCACCGACGAGTGACCCCGAAAGGTCCTCGTTTGTTTACTCGACGGGATATGGCACGGCTAGCGGAGGGAGAGGTGAGGGGGGTCTCAGGGAGGGAGGTTCCCGATCGCCAAATGGCTACTTTATAAATTACCTCGGTGGGAACGCGAAAATGGGCAGGGAAGGGAGAGGGCACGGGGGTTTTCTAAAAAGGGCGCAAAATACTCTAAACGCACGCAATGTACCACTGGCCGCACGCGGTTGGCGGAAGACCAGGCTAACACTCAAAAAGATCTTCTAACGCAAAAGGGCCGGTCCACGTGGGGACGGCTCGTAATATCCAAAAAGGGAGATCTACTATTTCTCAAACTCTAAAGCAAAAAGGGGGTAGGGAAGGGAGAAAAAGAAAACGCAATCATACGCAGAACAGTACTCACTCAATAGTTCGCAACACTGTAATCAAATATTCGCAATTATCACAATTATCTCACTCTCACTCGACTCGCACTCAACGCTACAGAACCCTGGCTCGAAGTGACGATCTCTTCGGTGTTTCCGGTCCTCGTTGTTTCCGTCACAGGCCTCCAGGGCCTCGGGGATTGGTGGGTCTGCCCAGCTGAGAGGGCTACGCGCTTTGGCATTGGTCGGCAGTTCCGGCATGGCAGGGCATTAGTCCTTTTCATATTTAGTGGACTGCCGGGCCTTCCAGGCCTCGTGGCGGCGGCACGGCGCTGGCTTCGCCGGCGCTTGGGCTGGCTGTCGCGCACCGGGCAACATGCCGGCTTCCAGGCCTGTCAAAATCCTCCCGGGCACGTCCGCGGTCTCGGAGGGAGAGGGCTCCGCCGCTGTCACACGGGACTTTTTCCTGCCCGTGTGACGGGACTGCACCGGGGCTGCATATATTGGTGGCGATGGTGGTGGCTGGGCATCCATCCCACGGGCGGCTCGATCTGTTGTTCCTCCTGCCCATGCCATCCCTGCCTTCCACTGCCTCGGCGACGTAGCTGCTCTCGCGGTCCATCCAGGGATGCTGTCCTCGTGGCAGGTCCACGACGGTGTCCTCGATGCGGGTGTTTGTTGTTGGTCCTCGAGCCTGTGCCCTACGGGGAAGGGTGACAGGGAGGGAAGGGTGCAGGGAGGGGGTCTTAACTCTAAATACAACAAACCTAAAACACTAAATAAACGCAATAAACGGTAATACCCAATACAGTACGCAATTCTCGTGCTCGGGGCCAGTGGTGCCCTCGAGCCAGGTGACGGGGAGGAGTTTATTGTAATATTTTTGTTACAACCTATAGATTAAGAATAAGGATCTTTAAGCTTCAATAATGCAAAGCCGGTAGCCTAGTGCTTTTTGAATAACCCGCTACGGACAGCTATATTGATTTTTAGTTTCTCTTTGACGAGTTCACACAGATGGCACTTTAGTACCAGTGTTTACTTTTCACAAGAGGAGAGTTGCCCACCCCTGGGTGGCACTGTAAAGCGTGTGTTTTCTATTGTCGACGCGTCACCTGGACGGAGAAGCTTCGAACCAGACCCACGTTTTTGATTGGTTAAGCGTATGCATCAGAGTACTCTAAGCAAACTCCACGCGTGTATAACAACTGAAATACTGTTTTCCCAATATGTACGTCACGGTAACTAACAGCCGTATTTAACATGCGTGAAGTTGCCCTGCCAAATTTTATTTTTTAAACTTTTTTTATTCCAATCGTTTGATAGTCGTTTGACAGTGTTTGATAGTCTTGTAAAAATGTTTGATAGTCAATAGTTTTTTCAGAAAATCAAAATCAAAATCTGGTTTGAAGTTAGCCGGCACTTTTTTGTTTCTAGGCGGATTTTGTTTTTCCGGAGTTCAATCGATGCAAAATCGTTTGGTAGTTGCGAATTAATTAATAAAAACGTTTGATAGTCCATCGTTTGCAAGAAAAATGAGAAAAACCATATGCGTATCAAGGATCCCAATCCATACGATACAATCGATTCCTCGATCGGTGTATCCATTGACTTAGACAATATAACAAACTTTTTTTACTTCCAATCGTTTGATAGTCGTTCGATAGTGTTTGATAGTCTTGTAAAAACGTTTGATAGTCAATAGTTTCTTTCAGATATCAGTGTCGCGATCAAATGCATCCAATGAACAGAGAAACAACGATGTGCTCTCCGCTCTCGGCTCATTTTCGAACACACCTATAGTTCTCCGGCGCACATGGAAAAGCTTCAACGAATGGACTTATAGCTTTTCCAGGGCTCAATCGATGCGAAATCGTTTGATAATTACGAATTGACTAATAAAAACGTTTGATAGTCAATAGTTTCTTTCAGATATCAGTGTCGCGATCAAATGCATCCAATGAACAGAGAAACAACGATGTGCTCTCCGCTCTCGGCTCATTTTCGAACACACCTATAGTTCTCCGGCGCACATGGAAAAGCTTCAACGAATGGACTTATAGCTTTTCCAGGGCTCAATCGATGCGAAATCGTTTGATAATTACGAATTGACTAATAAAAACGTTTGATAGTCCATCGTTTGCAAGAAAAATGGGAAAACCATATGCGAATCAAGGCTCCACGTAGGATTTGAATGATTTTTTTGCAATCGTTTGTAGGTCGTTTGTAGGTATTTGATATTGCATCCACGACGTTTGATAGTCCATCATTTATTTATAATATTAAAATTATGTGACGTCCTGATCGTCGCCACTGTCGTTTTCGCGGCAAATTCGACTGCGTGAATCTGGCGAGGTGGGTTCGTTAGCCACCAAAGCTCTGATGAGCACTCCAATGGTGTTCAATCTTCTGTAGATATGTTGATTTCTGGTACGATGATGTTATTGGTCTTCAACTGAATAAAGGGTTTAGAAATAAATATGCAGCTGCTTTTGGAGATCACTATAACTAACTTTATTTATTTTAATTATAATGTGATTTAGTCTAAATCAATCTATCTTAACTGAATCTAGATAATTGACTCTACGATATACACTCGAAGTACACCCTTCAAGACCAGAAATCGAACTGCCCTTCTGGATCCCAAGAGATACAGTCCTTCATACTTCTCATGCATGCATCCGCACTCATACACATTCATGTGTATGTACACCCTTTGTGGAGGCCCAGCGTGTGGCGCCTTGCTGTCCTGGCCCAAGCTCGAGGGTCTTGTCTTATGCACAAAGGACTCATGCACACCCTATCCTCAGTTTATTTGGGGAAGCACATGGACAGCGTCATCCCTTAACCGAAAACTCCGCTAGCCCGTCGATACTCTCAAGTGACTTGATTTATTGCCAGGAGTGAGAGTTCTTGAGAAACTCATTCGGTTAGGATAGCAATAAACAAATGGCCCATGCTTACATTCTTTGTAGCCCATATGTTTATGCACGTGTAGCGGCTAGAAAGCTTTCTCGGAATTGTTTAGAATATTTATTTATGCGTTAATGGCAGACTGAGAAAATCGAAGTATTGACTTCTGATTTAGAGACAGAAATCGTGATTCCATTTTAATCCCTCATTTGAATTCGCCGCTCAATTCTAATGAGATTATTTACCACTAGGCCGCGACGTAACAATTAATTTTCTAGGGAATTTTTCTTTATGTTAGCCCCTCATTCAAATATTTTATAAACTAATCGTGTTTTGCTCATATGCAATCGTTTGTAAGTCGTTTGTAGGTACTTTATATGTCATTGATGATATGAAATAATTGATTCTTTAATCGTAAATAATGAAAGAAATTTTATCTACGGAATTCCATAAACTGCATCTAGCACGCATGCGTGAAGACTTCAATATGTCAAATCACATTTTACATGTACTCATCTGTATATTGTTATTAAATATTGCAATCCGAGATATCATATATTTATTAGTGCTCTTTTCTTAGTTCTGAAATATTTACAATTGTACAGTTTAGTATTTACTATTTCATATACATTAAATTGATTGGAATTCTCTACCAACATAAGCCAGCTATTTAGATTGAAAGAATTTAAAATTTTTTTTTAATAGTAGTACTCTTCCTACTGCTGTTTAGGTGATTGTACAAATTACGTCTGGACACCGGTATCTCTTCTGGCAAAGAAAAGACCAGAATTCAAGGTGTTTAGGGAGAAATCTAATATCATCGCAACATAAGAGTTTCGAGGTGTTTTTCCTTGTATAAATTATTTTACTAATAAATACTGTAAATACATAACTATCCAAGTATACTTTTAAGTACTAGAATAAATTAAATATATATTTACAATTGTGATGGAGGTAACAGTATTTATGTACAGATAAAGGTACGTTCCATTCACATTAAGCATCCAAAACAGTCTATTTTTCAAGAAAAATTGTTGATACATGTTTATCCATTGTTTGAGCATCCATTTCTGTAAAAAAATATAAATTATGCATGATGCTGTACGCTATGTGCATCAAGTTCAATAAATTGATAAGAAAAATTACCTTTTGAATAAGAAAACCGAGAACAGATTACACAGTATTTGCTTCTCTGTAGATAATAACTGCTTCAAACTCTACCTAGCATTCAGAAGAGATTCAAAATTTCTGATGACACAATTATCACATCGTGATTCGTTTGCTGCATTTATCATATAACCTTAAGAGTGCTGCACGACCTTGTTTTATAATCATCCACTTAATTAACAATTTCATGAATATGGAATAGTAAATACTAAACTCTACAATTGTAAATATTTCAGAACTAAGAAAAGAGCACTAATAAATATATGATATCTCGGATTGCAATATTTAATAACAATATACAGATGAGTACTTGTAAAATGTGATTTGACATATTGAAGTCTTCGCGCATGCGCGCTAGATGCAGTTTCTGGAATTCCCTAGATAAAATTTCTTTCATTATTTACGATTAAAGAATCAATTATTTCATATCATCAATTACATATAAAGTACCTACAAACGACTTACAAACAATTGCATATGAGCAAAACACGATTAGTTTATAAAATATTTGAATGAGGGGCTAACATAAAGAAAAATTCCCTAGAAAAGTAATTTTAATCAGAGATGAGTAGGGAGATTGCCAATGAGCCTGTTTTTGGTGATGGCAATTTTTCTTTGGTTTCGGCACGCCACCTTAGCGAAGGGCCCTCGAAGCAGTTCCACGTTTTTGATTGGTCGTGTATATATAGTAATACTACACGTGATAATCTGGAACTGTGTTTTGGCGCGTCGACGCGTCACCTGAACGAGACTCTCGAACTAGTTCCACGTTTTTGATTGGTCGAATGAATTCGTGTGTTCCTCGAGATCCACGATTTTAGACCGAAAAAAAAAATTTGACAACGCTCGCACGTATGGCAGGCTGTTTCACTTTTCAATAGTTTAAATATTATTCAGCCGAATAGAAAAGTAGTAAAAAATGTCCCAAAAAATGGCACTTTTTAATGTCGGGTAAAAAAAATGAAAAGCGTAAAAAACCCACAAATTTATTTTATATATATGTATGGTGAGATGAGACAAATAGTATATCTGCTTAGAAATTTTTAGTTTTATACATTTTTGAGTAGCCTGATTCAATTTAGTCCATTTTTTTATTCATGCCTACGGAAAGATAATTTTATTTTTAATATTTCCAACTATCAGTATGTTCTACCTCGACATAATTGTCTGATAATTCGATGTATTAAAAATGTTGTCTTTCCGTAGCCATGAATGATAAAAATTAAATGACAAAAGATCCCTAACCAGATACATTATTTGTTTCATTTCACCATAGAAAATAATTGGTTCATTTTTATATGCTCATCATTTTATGCCCGAGATTTATAATTATTGCAATTTTGTTTTTGGTATTTTTTCGTAATGCCTTCTTTATCCGTCTGAATATTATTTATACTATTAAAAAAGGAAACAGCGTACCATAAGTGTTTGTCACAGGTAGGCTCTCGGGAAGAAGAAACGTTCGCTGATTCATGTACAAATTTATTGGATGTATACGATGTAATATAATACAATATTTGTAGATTAATATTATCATGTATTTCATCAAACTTCTGTTAATTAGGTAAACCAATAAGCATAGTTGATAATTAAAAGAAAAGAGAGGTAAGACGTCAGTTTCGAACCCGAGACTCTCGAACGTTAACTCAGCAGCAAGCACATGTGCCACCGAGTCATTGTGGTGTATTATTTAGCAAACTTATATTTTACCCACGTTCGAGAGTTTTTTTTAAGTTTCATTTACTTATTCTATTATTTCCAGAGCTTCAGATGGATATTAAGGGTATTGACTACCTTATTACTACGGTTTATGTAATATCCTGTAAAAAAAAAGATGGATACAAGACTCCCTATTTGAGTGTTCACCCGGTTTAAAATCGTGGATCTCGAGGAACACACAAATTCATTCGACCAATCAAAAACGTGGAACTAGTTCGAGAGTCTCGTTCAGGTGGCGCGTCGACGCGCCAAAACACAGCTCCAGATTATCACGTGTAGTATTACTATATATACACGACTAATCAAAAACGTAGAACTGCTTCGAGGGCCCTCCGCTAAGGTGGCGCGCCGAAACCAAAGAAAAATTGTCAGCACCAAAAACAGGCTCATTGGCAATCTCCCTACTCATCTCTGTTTTAATATTATAAATAAATGATGGACTATCAAACGTCGTGGATGCAATATCAAATACCTACAAACGACCTACAAACGATTGCAAAAAAAATGATTCAAATCCGTTATAGATGAGGGGCTAACTACATGGAGCCTTGATTCGCATAAGAGTTTAAATAGAGTTAACTAATCAGGTATAGGAGTTGAATGGAATTAACCAATGAGGCTGCTTAACTCTATTCAAATCCTGCACAGTGGAAACTAAGCCAAGGACGCCATGGAGATTAAAGGAAGCCTTCATCAAGGCGTCCTTCATCCTTGAGATAAGGACGGAATATGAACACGGGTATGAAAGTTTTAAGCTCGCCGGAAATAGTTGTCCGGCTAACTTCACAGAGGTCAGTTCACTCCAAATGCGCGTTACCACCAAACTTGATTTCGCCCAACCTGGCATCATTCGTAGGGTTAGGTCTAAAATTGAATTTGACGTTTCTACCTCACTATCGTTCTATTCAACTCTGTTTTAACCTTGTTTTAACTCAACTCTTACTACGGTAGAAACAAGCCCTTGATTAGTTTAGTTTCCACCGTGCAGAGTTTAAACAGAGTCAAGCAACGTCATTGGTCGATTCCATTCAACCCCTATATGTGATTGGTTAACTCTGTTTAAATTCTGCACGTTGGAAACTAACCATTGACTACGCTTACACGACGGACTTAAACCGGTTTAGTTAATACTGATCTAAAGGAATTGACCAATCCCAAATATACCTTACAAGTAAAAAAACCTATGATTTGTCTATTCCTTTAGATCAGTATTGAAGAAACCGATTTAAGACCGTCGTGTAAACGTAGTCATTGATGGGTTGATTTAAAGCACCAAACAAGTGACGCAATATACATTGCCTTTAGTAATAAAACTGGAAATTTATTATATTTATTTTAATTAGGTAAATGTTCCACGCTACATTGTTATGGAAATGTAATCTGGCGGTACCCAAATAACAAAATAATATTCTGAGAGCGGTTACAACATTGTTTAGAGGATATCTGAATAGGGTTGCGCAAATATATTACGAATATTCGAGGTACGTACCAGTTTATTCTGAGTAAATACTATGAAGGATCGAATGTCTGGTTTTGTTCGTCAAATTATTATGAATGGTCTGAGAAAATCCTATATTTTCTAAATCATTGACACGGTGGATGAAGCAGATGCTGGGTCTTGTAATTTGCCAAACTTTCAAATATTATTGTAATATCGGCTTTTCTCTTTAATATTATTTGTACGTATGCTATGATTAGCAGTGAAACAATAAATATCGAATTTTTTTTACACTTGTGTTGTATAAACAACAAATGTATCTGAGTTTGGACATGTTCATGTCAATGTAGTTTAACCACTACTTTCAGTTACAATATGCCCTTTCAAAGCCATATAATGAATAACAGTCAATAGACATCAAGATTAGACTATACAGTATTTAACAAATTTTAAGGGACCTGATACATTACCTTCATGCAAAAGGATGAAATTAACTATATACCATGCTTTATCTAATTGTTTTTACAATGTACTACTTGGAAACAAATTTCAAATTGTTTTCATGACAATCATCTTTCTGAAACTTTGGAGTTTATATTTACATACTAATTAATTAAAAACAAATGATTAAAGGCAGTGTGGGAGCCAAAAATAGTATATGGTTTTCAAATGCTTCATATAAACTTTTATTAAATATCCAGATCAGTGGATCAGGTAGGGTTAAGACTTTTTATACATATATATGTATAGGGATAATAGTCAAGAAGTTCCACTGACAAAATACAGTAAAAAGGAACAAACGGTGTGAAAAAGGAGGTCAACTGTCATATATTGGTCGTGTAATAAAAGTTTTAAATAAACAGTTCGTTTTTAAAGTTCATTCTGTTTAAATTCAATTATTCACATCTATCAGTTGATCACCATATTTGGGGGTTTGTCTAATTTGAAAAGACACTAGAAGTTAAAAGGAAACCAAAATAATTCTATTAAAAAATTTGAATTGAAGTGGAAACGAATAGTTGACAGGATAATAGTTACAATATAAAAGTTAAGCGGGGTATTGTAAATAATATTTCAGATTCAGACATTAAGTTGATCATTGTGTTTGTACTGGAAATGAATGTAATGACAAAATCAAAAAGGCTGAAACAAAAGATGTAGAATATCATGATACACCAATAGAGGAAAACGTCAAAATAAAAAGGAAAACAAACAGGAAAGAACAAAATCCTTTTTCGATTGTTCAAGGAAACTCTTCAATTAATGAAACTGGGAATAATACAATATGGTAACTATAGACCAGGTGGATATGGTAAAGGTGAGTGAACTGTGAGAAGAATTGAGGAATTGCAATTTACATACAACAGGAAAGAAATATGTTTTCACATCTAAAAGAAAGTGTCCGAGACGAGAATCATGAAGATGACAGCGAAAATAAAGACGAAGAAGCCATAGAAGTCAACGTGTCAGACGAATCGGATAGTGGAGAATCTACTAATTCGGATACAGAGCATAATCCCGTACGTAATATCAAGAACATCCGACGGCAGCGTGTGCGAGATACACGGATTTGCGACGAAAGTATCTCGAGCAGAGGAAACAACCGAACAACGGAAGTACGGGATAGAGTAGCTGATCAAGCCGGAAGACAAATGGGTCATAACCAAAGGTCACCAACAGAAAACATGTTTAACATCAAAGACGTAGAGAACAATATTGTACACAGGAAATTACAGTATTTCAAACTTTAGAATGCAATTTAAAAAAAAAATGAGTGTTTAATAATTTATAAAACATTGTCCAAGCAAAAAATTAAAAAAATTCTCTCGTTAGATTATAGAGAACATAATTATCAAGAGTTAGAAAAAACAAGTTAAAAAATATTGAAAATTGATTGAGTTATCATGCCAACACTGTCTAAAAATGTAGTTTCGAGAAAAACGCGTTTAAAGTTTCTGGTAGGTACAACGTGAACTTACGGCTAGTCTCCCATTCCAGCTTCGTACTGTATACCTTCTTCCTCTTGTATCTTCGTGTTTTTAATAGTTTTCTGCAATCTCTTGTCAATTCTATCTTCTTTTGTGGATTGAATTGATTGCATCCTGGCGTATTTCAAACGGTTAGCATTTTCTTTCGAGAGGGGTACGGCAGTTAGTCAGGCTGAGCGAACCCGACGTCCGGTCACATTTATTGCTATAACTTTGTAACGGAGTAGAGTTTTCTTATAATGTTTTTTTTTTTTAAATGTCAGGGGTATGTGAGCCCTTAATTAGAACAATTTACAAAAATGTATATACGGAAAAAAGATGCTGAAAGGTTCGGCAAAGCAGTTCATAACATATAAAAAGAGGGTTTTATCATGGACTGTATTAAAACGTGATTAAGACACGAGTTCAAAACAGAACTCAAAACCGCAATAATACATGCTAAGTTTATGAAGTGCAAACGAAAAGCTGAAGAGAATTGTCGACAATGTGACATATGTATATGTATGCTATACAAGAAATTTCCAGCTAAGGAAGTATTAATGAAGGCGCACTGATGCAACACGGTAGACGGGATTCAAGACAATGAAGCAAATAAAGTTATACTATACGGGGCTGATACATTGAGCGATTTAAAAAATAAAATGGACGCTTATGATCGTATAAAAAGCGCGTGAAAAAGAATCGATTCTTAAAAGAAAAAAAGAAATATCGAAAGATATGAAAAATGGTAAACTAACAATCAAGAAAAAATACTGTTACTCATGTGGTTCAACCGAACACGACATCAAGAAGTATTCAGTTAAAGAAAAGGAACCGAACTGGTTTTAATACAACACGTTCGGGCACATTGCATCAAAATGCCCCTCAAAATTGTCTTTCAATAGTAAAGCAAACGTTTCATGCATTACGAGTGAGTATAAATTACCAATTAATATTATAATCACCAGAGTGAAGTGTAAAGCCACAATAGACCATGCCAGTGATGTAAATCTGAAACGAGACGATATGTTGTAACGTATTAGGCCTTGTCTAATACTCCGTGGATTCTGATCCTTATATGAATAGGAGAGGCCTGTGCTCTTGTTAACATAGATTGGTTGTGATATAAGACGTTTTATTGTTAGCGTATTGTACTGTGTTGTAGTTTCACGTTTATCCTAGCTGAAGGAAGGAATCAGACCAAGGGCAGGGATTAATATCCGCCTGTGGCTGTTCTGAGGAAAGGTCCCTTGCAGCAGAAGATCAGTGATTAATATTCGGTCAGTATACGCTAGAGCCTATCGGAAGTGCACTTTACGTTTGATTATAGCGGTTATCAGGTCACAAATGGGGATTAATACCTATTCGAGCCGTCAAGGAAAAATTCAGAGGTCCACCGTAGAGAAGAATAGATACCCTCTCCTGATAGCTTCTGTGAGGTAATAATTGCAGGTGACAGCTTAGGTGTGGGATTAGTGAATTCCGTACAGTACTGCCAACAAATCGTTTCTGTAGCTGGATTAATACCGCTGTGTCCCTTATTTTGGATCAGGAGGGCTTTCCTGAAATTATTAAGTTTATTATACATTTTAAGAGTTTAATCGAAGCGGTGTGACGGATTGGACCACTAGGACGGATTGGACTAAGTTCTGTACCTCGATAGCTTTGGGATTGGGAAATTCGATAACACAATCAATTGGTATAGTATCAATAAACTTATATGTTAATAAAGAGTGTTATCGAACAGATATGTTCGTTCTATCCACAGAAACTATGATTCATACGATACTTCTTAGGTACAAATAGCTGAGACAAGTAGAAATACAAATATGGTGTGGTTCTCCGATAATTACACGTGTTTCGACCGACAATACCGTTGAAAATTTTCCAAGAAGAATCTTAGAAAAAGCTTCCAAAAAGAATATGGAAAAATCACATAAGAATTTGGAAGAAAAGCCAGTACCAGATGGACTTGCCGAAATATGCTGTATCAAATGTGTCGAACCTGAAAACCCGATGATTCATGCACCGTTTAAGGAGAAGATCCAACAATTGATATGAAGCTATAAAACAAGAAACGATGTGGTGACTCCAATTGAAACAAAAATTAGACTGAAATCAAATTAGGTGGTTGCACATAATTTACACCGGCTTATTCCAAGAGAGAAAGAAATTACGAGTAAAAATATTCAAGGACGGACAACATCTGAAATTATTCAACCAAGCTCTAGTCAATATGATAGTTGAGTGGTTGTTACACCAAACAAAGACGAAGCGTACAGAATTTGTATCGCTTTTCGACAATTAATCCGTCGAATCGAACGAGACCGATTTCCAATTCCACTATAGAAGACTGCCCTGAAGAATGCTCGAATATACTCGACAATCAATCTGAAGATTGGTTTCTTTCATGTACCCGTTGCTCAAGACAATTGTAAATATACGTCTTTCGTGATTCCAGGTGGTCAATATGAATTTATCAAGACACTTTTTGGACCTTATCAGCTTTTTACGGTTTGTTGTAGAATTACTCGAAGACCTAACCAAGTGAAAAATTATAATAACATATGGATAATATCACTATTTCTGGAAAAAAAATGAAGAAACATCCACAAGGATTGCAGAGACCTTGTATGTAGTAGCTCAAAATGGGTTAGTGATTAACTGGAAAAAGTGTTAATTCTTGAAAAACGTGTAGAATATTTGGGATATATGTATATTAGAAAATGGATGTGATTCATCTTCTCCAGTAAAGCTTAAAGCAGTGTTACGTAGGCCGTAGTCGCTAGCAAGGCTTTTAAATTTGATAACAAAAATTTAGAAGTAACCAAAAGAAAAGGAACGACCGGAGGTAACGTGAATAATATTTGAGTGAATTCCGAGCGGTAAGAATGCACTCAATGGTGGGTTCGCTGCTCGTTTAAGGTGTTTAAATACATCTTGCTATTCCAACGTGGATAGATATTCTCTGAAATGTTGAGGATGGGTAATAGATATTTAAAACGCCAGTAAAATGTGAACTTGCGATATATTGTTACAAATAATTTAGAAGTTTTCAATTAATTGTCGTGTACAGTGTTTCGATTATGAGAAATACTAAGATAAAAAAATTGTGAAATTGGATTACAAAACCTGACTGTGTGTGAGGTTAAGGCAAAAAGAAATTTGGCGGAACAGAAAATTAACTAGTATATGCGTTACTTGGAAAGACTAGTCCATGCAGCTCAATTTTGCTCGGTAACCGATCCGCTTGTTCCCTAGGGTATGTAATAACGAATCCGTACCTAGGCCAGATTGCGAATATTACACTGAATCTAATACTCTAACGGTTAGAGCCACGAGTGACAACGTGCAGTCCGATCTTTTACGCGTGAAACTGAATGATTTTCTGAGCGTCAGTGCCATGATTTTGGCTGCTTATATAGTCGATTTTTGCTGATGCTCTAGGTATGGTTAGGACGTTAGGAATGCACTCTACTAACCAGCTGGGTAGGTGACACGGGCAATGCACTGGGTAACGTGCTGAGTCTGCAATTATATTGACTGTCGGCTACGTTATTATTCTGTCTCGGAATCAAGGCCGATCAAGAGACGCGGTAGCGTCTCGACGCCAAGTATAAAAGAAAAAATCGGCCTCCTCACGAGACGCTACCGCTACTCTTATTGACGCCAAGTTGGCGCTTTTTCGTCTGCTACGATGAAATAACTTGAATTATCTGGGGGTATATGTCGTGGGCGAAAAATGTGTCAGGTCCAATATTTTTTCTTTTTTTTTTTTTCTTTACAATGAGCCTTTGCCCAATAAAATTGGTTCCCGCAATGCTGATATCTGGCATTTTAGCAATATCAGTCGAAAAATTTTTCTCAATTTGTCCCCTCTCATACAATCTTAAAAAATTTGTCCCCTCGCATATACGTATGAGCTTCGACGCGACACAGGCATAAAGATTCGAGACGCGCATGCGCAACGGGCCATTGAACACGTGTAGTCTTCTGTTTATATGGCCTCAGCTGTTGGCTACTATCTTAACCTGTCTCTTCATGAAAAAATTCAGTAATTTCATGATTTCATTGTTTCATTACCGCTTTACCGGTTAATTAATCATTTATTAATCATTTTTTATTTAGTAACTGTAGTGTGATATATATGTCCATAGCTCAGGAAAGGGAAGCAATGGAAGCAATGGAAGAAATTTACCAAGAGGTATTTTAATTCGGCATGGATTGCTTTTTTCCTGTTT